TATTCCAAGAAATTCCCAGGAACATGAGCACTCCACAAATCTCAGCTTCTCCCTACAAACAGAATATTTCCTTCAGAACAGGGAAGGTTCCAGTGCAGCTCATTCTGAACACTCAGTCTGACCTGGCAGCTCATGGATTCACCCACCATGGGTTCCATGCACAGCCTCAGGATTATTCAGCAGCAAACCAATACATTTTTAATTAGATGCATCTAAACACTACAAAAATAAAGCAGATGGTACCTACAGGCTGCTTTATTGATTCCAGAGTGAGAATTATTCAAGCAAGGCATTTCTTGTGGTCCCGTGGTCTGACTCTCTCTGGTCTCTGCTCCAAAATTCCCTCCTCATTGTCCGGGAGGTGTCAGGAAACACAAGAATGATCAATAATGCTCACCTTGTCATTATTTCAGCTTTACAGGAAAACAGGCAAGATGGAAAGAAATGTTTCTGAAATAATTGGGCTAAACATGGACGATGCTTCTGCTAGAAGAAAAACAGGAGTATTTGGGAAAAAACTAATGCTGAGGAATGAAAAATCTCAAAAAAATTGAGTTAGAAATAATTCTACTAAAGATTAATTTGAGATGAATTAAATTCATGTTAATAAAATTTAATGGAAATACCATTTAATAGCAATAGTAATATTTAATACTAGCGTTTATTAATACTAAATATAATTATTAATATTTAATAGTTGTAGTAATATTTAATACTACTAAATACTATTTAATGTAATACAATAATTATTTGTTAATAAAAATACTATTAATACTATTAATACAATTACTTATTATATATATTTTATATATAATATATATAAGTATTTAGTATATATTATATATATAATATATATATTATAAAGTATTTAATAATATTTTTCTTTAATAGAACTACTATTTAATATTATTAAATACTATTAATAAATATTAACAAAAATTAATAAAATTCCTAGTAATAAATACTAATAGAAAATAATAAAAATTTATAATTTTGGGGAAATCAGACATTTATTTATTTCCTTTGCACAGCCCACCCTGACAAACTTTAGCCCAAAGCCAGCAGCACTCACAGAAGATAAAAAATAGTCACATTTCCAGGCTGAGACAATCCATGTGTGCCAGAGCCACCTGGGGTTCAGAAGGGAAATAACTCTTCCTCTGCTGCTCCTGCAATGTGTGCTTGGATTTCCACAAGACACTCAAAAAAAGGGAGCTGAGATTTATTTTATTTTATTTTATTTTACTTTATTTTATTTTATTATTTATTCGATTTATTTTTATCTTATTTCCTTTTATTTTATTTATTTTTCTCTCTTTTTTCACTTGGAGAAGGTAGATAGGTTGTATTTATTCCTCCCCACTCAAAGAGCCCTGACCTCCAGCAGCATTTTAGAATTTAGGATTTAGAAAAGACAAAAATATTGCACAGAGCTCTCTATGGACAGCTTAGAGAGAACCAAACCCCCTGCAAACACTGTGCAAGGATGTTTGGATGGAGAAGGAACACCAGGAACTCTTACATTAAAAACAATATCATCTTATTTTACTGGATAAAGGAGAGCTGTGAGGGAGCGATTCGATACCAAGGAGTGCAATTGAAGAACCAAAAACCAGATTTCCTTATCACAGTGACCATCAATGCCTTTTCAACTGATTTATTTTAATGTGCACATTATTAGGTGCTACAGCCTCCTAGAGCACCCAGGTGCTGACCTTAAAAATAAGACAAGAAGCTGAATTTCTGCTATAAATCCAAATTTAGATCTTTTTTTTGTAAATAGGGTATCCTTGTAAACATTTCTGGATTTGAAACTGAGATGGAGTGCAGAATATTTCAGGTGGATTATACATATTCAATATAAATGTATCTTCCTAAACCTTCAGTTGATTTACAAGGAATTCAAAGCCACAATGATTCCACAACTGCTTACACAATGAAAATGTTATCCATGAGGAATGCCAAGAAGTCCACCTAGAGTTCCCTAAAATCACAGGGGATAAAAAAAATTAAAATTGAATGCACTCTACAGGACTGAAAGGTAGGTGTACACTAAAAACCTAATGTGACCACAAAACCTGTCAGTTTTGAAAAAGTTCCTGATATTCCATAAAACATCTGAATGGAAATATGGTTTTAAAAGTAGCACAACTTCCCAGAAGTCCTCAGGAGGCTTCACTCAGTCTCACTGTAGGGAGTCAAATCTGGCTTCCCCTCCTGCTGCATTTCCTATTTTACTCTGGGACTTCTCACACCAGCAGCCTTTCCCTTTCCTTTCAAGTAATTTCCTTCCCAAGCACAACCCAGCATTCCCAGACACTTGTACCAAGTCTGCTTTCAGGTGCAAAGCTGTAATTTTACCACCAGGACTGGGCCCCAATTCCCACTGCACAAGCTCTGACCTTTTCTGAGTTTGTTTTAACTCTTCAGAAAGGTCCTCACACAGCTGGGACACATCCAGCCACCTTCTGACATCTCCTCTGCTCAATTAAGAACATTTCACTGCAGCAGTTTGGCATCAGATTGATGCTACTTGAATATTTCTTCATTTCTTGAAGAAATCCTGCCCTTGGAGCAGTCAGAGTTCTAAAAATCAGAGCCCTGCAGTTCCCAGTAGCAACAGGCAGCAGAGCCTCCGAAAGGGCAGAAATTAATTTATTTCAAGTTCAGAGTTACATGCCATTACCTGGAGAGACTCTTAATAAAAAGTTATTCAGGGTATTTAAGTGGCCTAAAATAAATTGAACCAAGTTTGTTCTTATTAAGCATTGAATTCAAATTCCACTGTGCCCCAGGAACATTCTGCAATTACTGCTTCCTGCTGGAGGCCACCTTCAGAAACTTTTAGATTGCACTTTATTTCCTCATTTGCCATTCAAATTCTCCCTAGATTTGGGCATTGCTTTTAGCAGTCTGGATATTGAAGCTCTAAACAGAAGAATCTCAGTGGCACTAGAAGATACAAAATATTTGGCTTTTTTCCAGAGAAGAGCTCTCCTACCATGCACAGTGCACAATTTCCCAACAAATCACAACTGACAGGTTTGGTCATCATAATGACCAGATTACTGAGGCTTAAAAGCTCCAAAAGACAAAAACCAACTTGATTTTATTTCTGAGCATCCATCAGTTCCCAGCAGGAGATGCACCAGGGGCTGCAGTTATTACAGGACACAGGATCTTCAGAAGATGAAAATCCAAGAGGAGATGAGCTGAGATTTCCCCCATGGGCTGAGATGATTTTGTTGAGCAGGATTTGAAAGAGGGCAGCTCCAGAAGTGCCACTCACAGGAGAAACCAGCAAACACAGGGCCATTCATGTTAGGCTTTTGCCCTACATTTAAATCTCATTTAAAGCTACATTTGAATCAAGCTCAACCCACTAAAGCTGCTGGTGATCTTGGTCTGCCTTCACACAGATTTAAAACATGTTGTAATGCAAATTCCTAGGAAAAAACAGGTTTTAAGACAAGTATTTCAATATGAAACCCAAGTGACTTTAATATTTCCTTGCATTCAGACAATTTAACAATTCTCCCTTGTTAGTACAGACAAGGAAGAGTTTTTAAGTTTCAGAACAAAGAAATGAAATTACAGAGGACTAATCTTGCTGGTGTGCCCAGTGAGAGCCCTCACAAGTCCAAGTGTCCTCTTGTACCTCTTTATATTGATTTTCAGTGTAATTCCCCCCAGTATTTATTATTTCCACAAAAGGTTACATTATAAAGTCCAAACCGTATGCATAAAATTAAAAAAAAATCAAAGCACATTCCCAGATTTTCAGTTTTTCACAGAAATTATACATCCAGAAATTATACATCCAGGTAATAAACCAGATCAATGTGGTTATTTCAGAGTTTGATTGAAAAGAAAATAGATTTTTTTACCATTTATTTATCAACCTCCTGACCCACAGAAATCTCTGCAGCAAAAACCTTAAAGTATTTGGCAGGATTATGCATGAGTTTGCACACAGCTCCTCTTGGAAGAACCTGCAATTTAATATTCAGGATTCTCATTAACAAAAAAAGTCTTCTTACTAAACTGGAAAAGAGAAATCAAAAAATAGCTACTGAGAGACTTCCTGAATTACGAATCAGTAGTAATTACATTTTCAAAAAAGTTCAAGGCCCAGGGTATTTCCCACTGATGCCACACTCAGAGAATCCATCCCTCTCAACAGAAGGTGTGCTCTAGACAGTAACACTCAATTAACTCAGATCTCAATTAACTGAGGCTCAATTCACTGAGGTCAGACCTTCTACATCACATTAGTAATGAGGAGACCAAAGAAGTGAACAGATAACAGCAGCCTGGGAGTCACATCAAGGCATGGCCCAAAGATTGTTTATATCTTCCAAACTGAAGAATTTTTTAAAAATATTAAAAAATTGAAGAGCCCACTTTCTCTTCTTTGTGGAGCCCATTCTTGCTTCTCTGTGGAGCTCATTCCCTCTTGTTTGTGGAGCCCATTCTTGCTTCTTTGTGGAGTCCCTCTTCTCTTCTTTGCAGCCTGTCCCCATGGCATATGAAGTCAAACCATTTTCAGAATGCATCAAATTCAGGATGGTCCTTGAGCCACCCTTTGCAATATTTATGGAAAAGGAGCTGTGAAATCAAAATGTGTGACAGCTGTTCCCACAGCTGGGCAGTTCTGATTGCATGTGAGGTTCCAAGAGCTGCTTTCTCCTCTCTCCTTGCAGTTTCTGTCATGCAGAGCTGCTGTGCAGGGCACTCAGGGATGGTGCCCTGTCACCCTGGGGTCTGTCCCTGCAGGGCACTCAGGGATGTGGTGTGACAAAGGATCAAAAGGATGTGCACCAGAGGCTGTGACACAATCAGAGGAGCCCTGACAACTGTGAGAACAGAGATGTGTTAGAAAAGTGTAATTAATTTTCTCCTGTGTCCGTGAGGGACATTTGTGCATTGTTTTGTTTCAGAAGGGCACTCAGGGATGTGCTGTGACCTTGGGGTCTGTCCCTGCAGAGCTGCTGTGCAGGGCACTCAGGGATGGTGCCCTGTGACCCGGGGGTCTGTCCCTGCAGGGCCCTCAGGGATGTGGTGTCACCCCGGGGTCTGTCCCTGCAGGGCCCTCAGGGATGGTGCCCTGTCACCCCGGGGTCCCCGATGCCGTGCTGGGGGTCGCAGCTGAAGGAGATGGTGATGGCAAAGCGAGTGCCCCACTGCACCCTCTCCACCCGGTGCAGGTTCTCCGAGCCCGAGGTGAAGAACGACACCCGGCCTGCAAAGACAAACATTTAACCCTTCAGTGGAGTTTGCCAAAGCTGCAGCTCTCCCTCCACTGCTCTGCTGCTCTCCAGTGAGCTGGGAGCCCGGAGGTGATCACAGACAAACTGTGCAGCTCACACTGCACTCTGACAGCTTTTAACCCTTTCAAACATACATTAACCCTTCATGCTGAGCTTACACTGCAATCTGACAGCTTTTTACCCTTTAAAACATATTCATCCTTCATGCTATGAGTTCACACTGCACTCTGACAGCTTTTAACCCTTTCAAACATACATTAACTCTTCATGCTATGAGCTTACACTGCATTCTGACACCTTTTTACACTTTCAAATATACATTCATCCTTCATACCATGAGCTTCATACACTAACCCTTCATGCTATGAGTTTACACTGAATTCTGACAGCTTTTAACCCTTTCAAACATACATGAATCCTTCATCCTATGAGCTCACACTGCACTCTGACAGCTTTTAACCCTTCCAAATATACATTAATCCTTGGTGCCACAAAGCTGGACATGCAATCCTATCATCACAGTGGGTAATAATTAGCATTGATTCACAGAAGGCTCTGATCAATCTCTATCTTAATTAAGAAACCCATTACTTTTATAGACAGTTATGACACAGGTAGACTTGATTGGTGCTCCAATCAAATCACCAGTGGCTAATTAAGAAACCACCCTTTGGTACACAAATCTCCATAACACATTCTGCATGTTCACAACAACAGGTGCAGCAAGTTAGGGTAAGAATTGTTTCTCATTAGTTTTTCTGATCTTCTCATAGACTTTCTCAGGCAATGCCTGGGAAAGTTTTGTGTTTCTCTCTGTGGCCAGAGAGCCGCTGCCACAAAATCCTACCAAAGCTACTTTATAAAAGCCAAGAACATGGCAGCCAGTTCTTAGCTGCCTCAATTAAAACCAAAGAAGTGCAACTTTAGTGACTGTCAGCAAAGTGAACTGATCTCCTCTCTGCTCCCCTTCTAGTCCTGGCTCTGATTTTGAACCAAAGGAGGAGGAAGCACCACAAAGGTGGGAAAAAGCCTTCAGTGACAAAACCTCAGCAGGTTCCAAGCAGATGTCAGCACTGCACCAAGTGTTTGCTATCAGTTTCTGTGCCTGCTCTGATCACTCCCACTCAGGCAGGTCACAAAGTCACACATCAGCCATGCCCAAATTCACTTTCCTTAGAAAGAGCCACTCCATCCATGCATGGGCTTGGCAGTTCTTTTTTAGAGATAAAAGTGCTCAGGGGTGTGCCTGCCCCAAGCCTTGACCGTCACCACCCTGCATGGGGACACTGTGGGCCTCAGGTGGCACCAGGTGAGATGGAAATGCAGTGACTTTGATGCTGACAGCAGAGCACACTGCCATCCCCCTCAGTGAGACAGCAGAAGGGAGCCCTCTGCATTCCTCCATTAATAAACTCTTCTGAGAGTGTACAGGTTTGACGCTTGAGGTCCAGCAGGTAACTCTGAACTGATGTGGCTCTGTGGGACTGCTCCAGCTCTCCCAAGGAAGCCAAAATTTCTCACCTGCACAGCTCCCTCACCCCAACAGCATGAGGTTTTCCTGCTCAGGCTTTCTCTCCACTGTTCAAATTCCAGTTTGTTTGAAAGCTGAAGCCTGCCTGAAGTCTGCATAACAACAACATGAGCCATTCCAACCCTTACCCCACCTCCATGGCTGAAATGGGCACCAGGCACATCACTGGGTTTCTCTTCTAAAAGGATCCCAAAGATCCAGAAGTTGCTTTGTTTGCATCCTCCTGAGCAGCACCCAGGGGGGATTTGGACAAACCTGGACTGGCTTTATGGGGCTGGGTTTACCCACTAACCCCTGAGTCCCTTTCATGCTCAGCTGCAGCTCACACCTAATCCTCAGAGTGCATTCAGAGTCTTTCATAGCAATTTCATCCCTTCTGCACCTCAATAATGGGTGAAGCCAGACATGGAGAAAACAGATCCATCTGTGGGCACAGCTCATTCCCACCTCACTGTCCTGCTTTTCTGGATGAAAAACTAAATGAAGGCAACGTGCTCCTGTCCCACCAGTGCTGCAATGAACAGTGCTGCCCTCAAGGATTCCATACAAATCCCCTGTGTCACGACTTTTTTCCCCCTTTTAAACCATATTTCAACTTCATTAAAGTACATTATTATTATTGGTCCCTCAACTGCTCACCCAAAGCTTTGCCTTAAACTGACTTTCAAGCTGTTTTGTTTGATCTCTGACTAGAAGTAGTAGTAATTCACAGCTAAACAAGGTTCAGTGTGTTAAGCCAGTTAAATAGAATTTTTTTTTTTGGCTATACTGAATGTCTTTAAAGTTTTTTCTTTAATAAATATGTCTTCATGTATATGGTATCAGTGTGCTCCCATATGCATCAACTGGGGTCTCTGCGTAACTGAACAAGGCTATATAGTCAAAGATGCTTTTTCCTCACTTGGGAAGAATTTCTCTTAAACTTAATTCCTTTACAATATTTTTGAAGCAGAAGCACACTCTTTCCACAGTACATTATTTTTATCAGTACAAATGTCCAAAGAGAGGGTAGAGAATGTTAATTTACTAATTCCCATCTAATCTGTGCCCTGCTCTCCTCCATGGACACCAGGGAAGGGAGGCAAAGCAGGGCTGGGGGAATGGGAAGGGTCTCAGCCCCATGCACTGCCCATGGCTGGGGGCACTGGAACACTGTGGGGAAGGGAGCTGGGGGTGCTCAGCCTGGAGAAAAGGAGACTCAGGGCTGCCCCCATCACTCTCACAGCTCCTGAAAGGTGCCTGTGCTCAGCTGGGGCTGGGCTCTTTCTCCAGCAGCACTGACACAACCAGAGCACACAGCCTCGAGCTGTGCCAAGGGAAATACAGGTTGGAAATTAGGAAAAAAATGTTTTACAGAAAGGGTGATAAAGCTCTGGAATGGCTGCCCAGGGAGGTGGTGGAGTCACCATCCCTGGGTGTGTTTAACAAAGCCTGGATGTGGCACTGGGTGCCAGGGTTTGGGTGAGGGGTTGGGGCTGGGTTGGACTGTATGATCTTGAAGGTCTCTCCCAACCCAGTGATTCTGTGAATTCTGTGAAGCAACTCCTCTGTCTGGTGAAAGGGAAGCAAGAACAGTTTATTTGGCACCACAGATCTTTCATTTCATGCACTGACAGCTTCCACTCTCTGCCCAACATTTATCAGCTCTAAATGTTCCTCAGGAAAGAAGGAAAAGCTGCATCTCAGCTGCTGAGTGACAGCCAGACAGGAGCACTGCCAGGGAAAATGCACAACAGTTGTCTTCTCATCCTCTGCATCTGTTTAGGATTAATCACCAATTCATTCTCATGTAGAGAATCCAAGAAACCCCATCACAGCATTAGGCAAATAAACTGGTAATAATGTTTTCTGCAAGCACACAATAAAATTTATTTAAGTAAGTCAATTACTTATTTTAAAATGATGAATTGGGAGAATTTAAGTGCTTTAAGCAAATCCCACAAAAGGAATCTGGAGGACTGCAATAGATTCGCCGTTTCCTACCACTCTTTGCAATCACCTCACCAGTCCCTGGCACAATTTGTGGTGAGTTTTGCAAATCACTAAGAATTGCTGTCCTCTGCTTACTGCAGCTGCTAATGCTGCCTCCATTTGTTCCTCACCAGGACTGACAGCTACTTCTGTGGCTTTTTTAAAAATTATTCTCAGCTTTCAGCTGATATTGATTTAACTTCAAGATGTGCTGCAGTTTTTTACTGATTGGAGCAAAAGTGAAGCTGGAATTGGCAGATTATCATGATCTAGACTGAATCTGGAGGATGTGGATTGAATACAGAGGAAGATGAGATTGTTTGTATGGGATATTTGGGTTCCCAAATATCTTGTACCTTCAAATCAAATATTTTACACTTCCAGAAACACTGAGAATACACTAAGTTTGAGATTAAAGAGTCACACTGCACTCTCCAATGTACAGAATTCATTTTGCCCCACAAATTAGTTTCTCCCAGCAACACACATTAGTGATTGTGACCTTTCCTGCTGCCTTTGTATAATAAATTACTTGTATGAAGAACAAATTGCCTTGTAAGTTGAAAAGAAGTGCAGCAAAGCTGACCTTCAAACCAAGAAATGCACATGCAAATAAAGAACAGAGAGTCAGAACTGGGATTTCATTCCAACAGCAGCTTCATCTACACTTGATGATCAAGTGAAGTTTGGGACCTGCCTAACATTGTCAGACCCCAAATTCATAAAAGACTCTGCAAAATAATGAAATTTTAAAATATGAAATTTTATACACTGACAAGTTTAGCAGCAGAAGAAAGAATACCAATTTTGGGATTGAAAAAGGAAAGCCTTGATATTTGCCATTATTCTTATTCCTCCTTATATCCTGCAGATTGCTAAAACATGTCTCAGACCAGTAAGAAGAGTTAATATTGAAAGGGCTTCATTTTGAAAGGCTTCATTTTCAAAATGTTGCTCTGTTTCTTACAGTCTCTCAAACAGAGCCAATCCTGGTGCAAAGGGGTGGAAAAATCCCAGTATGACGATTTTGGAAACAGAATTTCCATGTATATTTTAAAGGAACAGATTCTACTTTAGATCTGTTTCTTTGTCACAAAAAAAAAATTCTTTTCAAAGTTGTATATCCCTTGGCATTAAGAATTTTCTTCCTCATGGTACAATGAGTTTCTCGTGGCAGAAGACAAATACTCACTTCTGAAGCCCATCAGAACACAAAAGACAAATACTCACTTCTGAAGCCCATCAGAACACAAGAAAGATGTGTTCCTTCATGCCACGTCTGGTTATGAATTAGCCAAAGGTCTGTACACTTGAACTGGTGCTGACTTGTTCATTTTTGTTAAAAAAAATAATCTGAAGAACCTCAATGTTAATAAATCACAAATCCTTCTTAAAGCTAATGTTTGCTAAGAACCAAACTAGGGGATGTTAAAGATCATCCTATAAATTAGAGAGTTGTTGAGTCAACTATGTGAGAGTCAGGACTTAGAGATTTCTTAGGTAATGTGCAAGTGATGTTCACTGAGGGAAGTGAAAAGCATTTTAATTTAGGCTCCACTGCTGGCAGAACAGTTCTCCCTGTGCCCTGCTGCCACCGATCCTCACCAGAGCAGTGCTGCAAATGCACCTGCAGCAGCAGTGGGACCTGCCCAGGCAGCATTTCAAACACAGGACATCCCACAATGCTTTAATTGCTTTTTCTTGGATTTCCAACTGCTGCTTTTCTGCTCTGCTGCATCACTAACAATGCCTTTCTGCTCCCCACTGACACTTGGACAAATTGCTGCTCACAGGAAAAGAAACCTGCTCATTTTGGCACTCAGGTCCCCAAAAACGCAGGCTAAGTGTGAGACAAGTAGCAGCTTTTAGGAGTGCAGTGGCATTAGCAATAGAGAAAAGTAAATTAGTTGTCAAGCATGAAAACTGAACCAGTGATTATGACAGTCATCCCTAGAAAAGCCTGGAGCTCCTAAAAGAGAAGCATGAGAGCTCATCAACATGTGGTTTTAAAAGTGGAGCTGGAGTGGCAAAAGAAGCACAAAGGATCAAAAGAAGCGTAAAACAAAACAAAGAAAAGCCAAAAAGACAGAAGGAGAGAAAAAACATTGCAGAGGAACATTATGAACATGAAAAATACATCAACTTGTTCCAGCAACAGAAAACAGCCTGGGGTCATTCCTTCAGAAAACACATTTTATCAGCAAGAGGAAAAATAAGTGCAAATGCCTTCACATTGTGCTTCAGCTCTCAAGCTTTTCTGCTTTGCTCACAGGATGTCAGTGGGGATTGTGCACCAGAGGCTGTGACACAATCAGAGGAGCCCTGACAACTGTGAGAACAGAGATGTGTTAGAAAAGTGTAATTAATTTTCTCCTGTGTCCATGAGGGACATTTGTGCTTTGTTTTGTTTCATTGCCCATACACCCCCTGGCAAAGGGACAGCCAAAAAGAAAATTCTGGATTTCATCAGCTTCCCCTTCTTCCCCCAAAACAACATCAAGAGCAAAGACTTTGCAGCAGAAAACCTGAAAATGGATAGATGGGGCTGAATGGAAGCAATTTCACAGTTACAGACTTTAGGAAATTAAGTCAGGGGCATGTTGGACACTGCAGCCAGGCTGAGACAGCTCTCCTCACACACCTAGAATTCAGTTGTGATTTCTACAGCTATAAAGATCTGGTAATCTTAGAATTGCATCTGAAAAATAGTTTAATGTGTTCCCTTTCAAAATACTGGCAGCAGCATTTTGCAAAAGATGAAGCTTTTAGTTTAGGGTTTACTTCCAACCATAAAAGACAAAATAATCAAACACACAGTTCTTGCTGGCAAACCCAGGTAATCTCAGAGTTAATCTAAAGCAGCATCACTGTGATCCAGAATTCAGAGAACGCCCATCCCAATCTGCAGGCAGCAATAATCTGAAGTCAGTTCTGCTTGGGGTAACAACTGTCAGCAGACAATTACTGAGGCTCTTTAAATGAGTAAATTTCCATCTTTTCTGTCTTGGAAAAAAAAGACAGAACACAGCAGGAATATAAAGTTGCCCATTTTTTCTTCTTCCCTGCAGCAGTGTGGCTGATCTTGCATTATGAAAGGTAACACTGCTGGAAGCTCAGCACTCACCTGCCAGACAGATCAGCTGAGGCTGAGCTCCTCTCTAAGCAGCCCCAGAGTAATTCTAGTTTCAAATTATCCACATATTAAAAAAATCTCAAACCAGCCTGAGAGGTTTTTTATTTATTTATAACTGACAGCCATCAGAAGGCTCATCCCTGTCAGACCTCCTGGAAGCAGGGATGGATTTATAGCCAAGTAATCCTGGTTCACCATGCTCCAGCAGAGCTGTGACAATCCATCACCTTCACACCCACCCTCAGCCACTACAGGGTATTTTAAGCCCCACCTTGAGTAGCAATGGAATTTCAGGCCAGTGTAAAATAAATTGCTTTAATTTGGATTTGCTGCAGTGACAGTGAGCTCTGCTCTTGCTGCACAGTTGTCAGATTAAACTCATTTTGACTCAGAGATGGGGCAGCTGAGAGGTGTTTTGAACCTTTTATTCCATTTTCAGTCTCATGAGAAGGGTGAGACAATACAGGTGTTATAATTCATGCTATCACAATCAGAAGCAAAATATTTCCTAATATACTATAAGTGTTTCTTGGCCTATCAGCTTTAGCTACACCATGCTGTGAATGTCTTAAAGCTAAGAATCTAAAATTATTACTATTATTACTATTTCCCACCTGCTAAGCTGTCAGAACTGGCCACCTCTTCTAAGCCCTACATCTTCCCAGGAAGTCACTTCTGGTGTTTTAACACCACACATTACAAACTGTGGCTGTATTTTAACCTGTTTTAATCTTCACTTTTGGTGTCATCAACCTGAACACAGCATGCTCCACTACCCCACGTTATTCCTCCTGCCCCAAACCCAGTCTCACAGCACCTGCCAGCCCAGAAAAGTCAATAAATGGCAGAAGCTGCAGCCAGCCTGGCTCGTACCTGCTCGGGGCTCCACTGTCTTGTTGGAATCTGCATCCATGAACACGAAACGTCCACCCCCGAAGTCTCTGGAGTAGTCAGAGAGATAGAGCAGAGAAGTGTAGTCAAAAGAGCCATAAGTCACCTGTGGGGGAAGCCAAAATCACCACAATTTACCAAATTCTTGATCCTATCTCTGCAGAGCATGGCTGATGGATCTGGTGGGTTTTGCTGATTCTCAGTTTTTTCATGTATTTAATAAAGAGGTCTTTGAAAACCAAGAATACCTTTTTCTAGGAATTATCTGTGTTTATTAGTCTGTTCTCTTGTAACACTGCAAGACTAGCATGTCATGTTTATTAATTCTATTGTTACAGTTTCCATCATTAGAGAAGTGATTGATTGATTGATTGATTTCCATCATTCAAGAGCAAAAAACAACAGTGTCAGAAGTGCACAGTATCAAAAAGACAGGATTTCTGCTATTCCAAGATAAAATTTCACCAGGAGGTTAATAAGCAGAAGAACAACCCTTGATTAATGATTTCCACCCATGATTAATCTTGGGTATAAAGTTTCTGGATACCTCACTGGTATTTTTTCACCACTATCACACAGGAGATTCACAGTAAATCAGAACTTCCAAGTAAATATAATTTGTTGAGGGAGCTTCTACTCTTTTTCATACAGGTTTTGTTTAAAACCTGCTGTATTTTCTGAGACCACCATTGGAGGGAGGAATGATGCATCTGACTCCATTGATATCAGAAGGCTAATTTATTATTTTATTATCTATATTAAATAAAAGAATACTATACTAAAAGAATACTATACTAAAGAATACAGAAAGGATACAGACACAAGGCTAAAAGATAATAATGAAAACTCATGACTCTCTCCAGAGAGTCTGACACAGCTTGGCCCTGACTGGCCAATAAATAAAAACAATTCACATGAAACCAGTGAAACAATCACCTGTGGGCAAACAATGTCCAAACCACATTCCAAAGCAGCAAAATACAGGAGAAGCAAATGAGATAATATTCTTTTCCTTTTTCTCTAAGGCTTCTCAAGAGAGATATCCTGGTGAAGGGATTTTTTTCAGAAAATATGATGGTGACAAAAACCCTTCAAACTGAACTTTGGAAGTCTCTGCTTCTTCTCAGCCTACAGACCAAACATCCCACTTGTAGATACAGCAAGGTGATTTTTTACTTCCTTTTAAAGCATTATTTTTGGTTGATATGTACACTGAGAAAATAAATACTACATACTAATACTGAGAGTGAAGCTATCTAAATATTTAACATTGACTTTAGCTGATTCTGGAAATATTTCCTTTCATATCTACATGTCACCAGCAATTTAAAAAAATACTTGAAATCAATGGCTGGGTTCTCCAATTTCTTTGTGTACCTCAACTCAAAAGTTCAGCATTACACTGTCAAGCAGTGAAATGTGCAGCACAGTAGTACTGTATAAATACACAGAATTTGCAGAGTGTTTTGACTGACCTGGTGACTGTCAGAGGTAGGTGCTACTTCCAAACTTAGAAGATTTCTAAATATTTTCAGTCATGTTTCAAGTTATACTCATTAGTGCCAGTTAAATTTTGGCTCAGGAGCAGTTGTACACATTTCTTCTGTAAGGGCAGGACCAGAGAGAACATAACAGCAGATGGAACAGGAAGACATTTCCATTCATACTCATGCTATTATTTTGACCATAAGGCCTCAGAGGAAAAAAGCCAAACCCCAAAAATGAGAGAAACATTACAGTGATCCCCTTTCTCTCCATGTTTTCCCAGACCCTGGTAGCAATACAAGGCAATAAATGGGAATTAACGAGCAAGTGCAGCACCTCAGAGCAGCCACTCTAGAGCCCTTCCCATGCAAATCAGCTTTGCAGAGCCATTTTCCATTTCACTGACCTGGTGATAAAAACTTCCAATCAATTTAAGGAGGGCTCCAGCCAGTGCAGAAGTTCATTCAACTCATAGCTCCAAATTTCATGCATTAGAACTGTTTTTATCAACTCTTCAGAGCAGCAGCAATCTCTGCTCCCCCAGCGCACTCTCCCTTCTCTCCAAGGTGGTTTTACCAATTCTAAACTTCTAAGAACTTCTAAGAACCAACCATTTTAGCTTAACCAAACACACCTGATTGCTAGAGATGACTAATTTGGGGAATGAAGTGTGCAAGAGAAAATGGCTTTGCTCTTCCTGTCCTTATTCGTTACTCACTCTCAGAAAGCAACCAGGCCTGAGAAATGCAACACTATGGAAAGCAGATACTAAATTAAACTCGGTTATTTATAATGCTAGAAGTCTCTCCATGTATATCAAATATATTTGTTACCCTGGCAATGATTTCCAGTACCAGACAGATTAATAATTGAACCAAAAGATCAAACTATATGAGAGAAGCCTGTCACTAAAAGCCACACAGCTCCAAATCAAATTTCTACAGCTCCTTGTAAACAACTCAAGAAAAAAAAATGCAGATAATTCCATTCAGCCTGCTATGTCAAATGGTTAGTGTGCTATTTTGAACACTCCTTATTCAAAAAGTCAAACACAGATAATATTTAATGGTAGATGCTCATAATGATATTTACATGACACTTCTTTAAAAGCTATTAATTATTATAAATAGAACTAATTGCCAGGATTAGCCAGCCCCATTTTGAAGTGGGTTTTTTTTGAGGGACACATTTCTATGCAACTCAACAGTAGTAGGATTATAGAAGAGGTCTACGGTTCCTGAGGAGATTTAGGACAGCATCCTCTGCTTTCCAGTGCAGAAGAAAATTCATATTTGCAATCAGCATTGGTCTAGCATGCAGAAAAAGAATCAAAACTTCTCTTTTCCTCTAAGGCTTCACCTAATTATTATTATCCAAAAAGTCAAACACAGATAATATTTAATGGTAGATGCTCATAATGAGCATATTTAAATAAATAAATAATAAATAATAGCCTTCTTTAAAGGCTATTTTATAAATAGAACTAATTGCCAGAATTAGCCAGTCCTATTTTGCAGTGGGTTTTTTTGAGGAACACATTTCTATGCAACTAAACAGTTGTAGGATCATGCAAGAGGTCTGCAGCTACTGAGGAGATTTAGGACAGCATCCTCTGCTTTCCAGTGCAGAAGAAAATTCACTTTTTGCAATCAGCACTGCAGAAAAAAAGTCAAAACTTCTCTTTTCCTCTAAGCCTTCCCCTAATTCTGTGTAGATAAGCCCCAGAACAACCTTGATAGCCCTCCCAGTGTGCTGTTTATTGCCAGTGTCTATTAGGCAATAAAAGAGCAAAGAGCACATCTCTGAATTGCAAGGGGCTCTAGGTGAGCTGAGGTGATGGCTTTGAGCAGAAATGACAATCAACCTCCTCAATTTTCAGAAATGATGCTGTCCCAGGGCAGAAATGGGATCTTTTGATGTGTTTTATTAAATGTAGGGGAAGAAAAGAAAGGTGAAAAGTCTGCTAGAAAAGACAGCAGCTGCTCTCAGTGCCAGAGAGGGCTGCAGGTACAGGGGAGGGTTGGGGACATGGAGAGCACATTGCAGGTGAGGAGAAATAATTAGAATAATTAGGTTTGGCTTGTTCACCTCAGAGAAATAAAGGCTGGAAAGAGATATGATTCCTACCCATAAATACATGGGGGTGGGAGGATGTAGAACTGGGAGAAAGAACACGAATAGCTACAAAGTGATCATGGACATGTTTAGGCCAAAAAAAACCAGAAGAAATTTTGGGAAATGTGCACTGAAGTGCTGGACTAGCTCTGATAGAAGAAATTCAAGGAAAACAAACCCAAAACCATCTTATGGCAGAGCCTGACATTTCTGTGAAGGATGGGAGGATCTGTGCCCAGGCAGGGGAGTGCACAAATCTCCAAATTCCACCAGAGAATGGTGCAAGGCTGCAGTGCTGACAGTGTGAAGTGTGCAACAGCAACCCCATTTTAAATCAGGTGTTTGACATTTGGAAGCCTCAGCTCCAAACAAATTCCATCCAAGATGAAACTCCACATCTTAAAACAACACTCTCTTCATTTGACTTAGAGGCTTATAAATTCAACAAGATTAAATGAGTCATTTGGGTGATTTCAGGGTTTCCATTCCTATGTAACCACAAACCAAGGAAATTTTAGGAGGGAAAAAAACAAAGCCTCAGATAAACACAATAAATCTGTACTACTCCATTATGCTGTTAAAAGTCTTCAGGGAGATTCAGATTGAGAAATCTAATTGCAATAGACTCAGCAACATCAGGGAAAAGGCAAGAGGGGTTTTTATATGCTCTAAGAAGCCACATCTTCTTAACAACAATGTCACTCTGAAACAGAAAATATAGTGAAATCTTTTTGCTGAGGCTCCATTTTACCTTTCTTCTGGAAGGAGGCAAGGAAAAAACTGTGATGTCTTCTAGGAATAACATTCACTGTTAAATCATGCACAAATTCCTGAAGTGATTTGTTCTGTTCCAAGGGGAAAGCATATATAATGATCCAAGACAAAAAGCATCCAACAAACTGGCAAGTTTTATTGATCTTTCTTCAACTTTCCAGCATTCACACTTGCTGTGGAGGCCACATAAGAACTCCACTACTCTTTGCTGGGAAGAACTTTTTACCTCAGATCAATAGAAATGTGGTTTTTTTCCTTGCTTTCAACTGCAGTGTGGAAGTGGAAAAGTTTGCTGGAGGAATGAAGTACAAACCAGGCTGACTGCACTGGAGGCAACCTGGGAAGCTGCACAACTTCATCCTAATTAATCTCCCTCAGACTATTTAAGATTATGAACAAGGAAACTGCCCCAACTGGGATAATTCTCTTCACAGACTCAGAATTATTGAGATTGTGTAAAAGATCTCCAAGACCACTGACTGCAACCACTGTCAGAAATCAGACAGCCCCATTATTCAGTACAGAACACCACTAAGGTCTAGATTATGCATTCCAAGTCTGGGAGAGCATTTTTCCTTCTTGTTTTGGTTTTTTTCTGAAGCTGGAGATGGGTTAGAAAAAGCCAAGACAAATCAATTGATGTATCTGCTCCCTGAACAGACAGCCTGCAAGATAAATAAAACATGGAGAAAAGAGAAGGATAAAACCAGGAAAACATTCAGCCTGCTGTCCATCATGTCCAGGCATTCTCAGGATGACAGGACAGAAAAGCAGCTCCCATAAATTCTCTTCATGTAAACTTATTTGCATGTAAATGATAAAATAACTTGTACATTACAGGAGATATTTAGGTGGGAACACTTAATTGAGAGCTTATCCAACCACCTTATTCATTTCCCAATGCAAAACACATGCAGAGAAGAATAAAGAGAATTCTGGCAAGCAGGGCTTGGGCAGACACAAATCTTATTATAGAATAAATCAGAGTCTGGAATTCTAAAATTGGCTGTTTTGGGGCTGAAATAAAAGAGTGGAGAAAATAGGTATAAGCTGTTGAAATATAGTGCTTTTCCCACCCTTGTGGCAAGTCAAATCTGATTCTCTGAAACTGTGGAAAAACTGTAAGAACCAATGAATTCACTGAACTTCACACAAGCAGAATCACGAGTTTCCTTCTTCCCAAGGATCTCCTGGAATTTGTTGGAACCCTGGATGCTGAGAATATTAAACTTTCTGTGCTGAAAGGCACAGACTCACAAGAGAACACTGCATTTGACCTGAGGCTGTGGAGAAGGCTCCCAAAATCAAGTGATTCTGGGGGTGTGTAGTTGGTTAGGAGTGTGTAATATCACAGGGTGGAAAAAATGTTTGGGATTTTAGAATATAGAAAAAATATAAAAAATAAAAAAATATAAATAAATATGAAGCAAGATGCAGGTTTTAGGGTGGAGACAGGTTGTTCTTTACCTTCTTCCTTCTTCTTCATAGGTTTGGGTGAGGTTTTTTAATTGGACAGGAAAGTCCTCATTGCAGGCTTCGAGTGATCAGTTAATTGGTTGAAAAAGAAAAGAATTTAGATGTTATTTCTTAATTAGATAGTTTAGTCTTAAAAGATCTTGTAACAAGAGGTAGTTAACCATTTTGTTCCTTGCTAATGAAGGACTGCAGAACTCACTGCTGTGGGACTGTAACACGGATAAGAATTAACAAACACCTGGGTCTGAATGTGAACTGTCATCTCAAGGGCCTTCAATCCTGACCCCAAGAGAAGCAGAAAAAGGGAGCAGAGAACCCACAGGAATTGAGCATGACATGATGGAATTTCTGTGAGCCCCACCAGCACAATTTGCTCCCTGTAGCCATTTCCTACCAACAGAAATCAAAACAATCTGGATTTCAAAACCATTCCTACCACCTCTGGTCCAGAGCCATTCCTATTCACTGGTTACATCACAGCTTTTCAAAGCTGAGGCACCCAAAACCTGGCAGATTCCACCCTGCAGGACTTTCTGCTTCCAAACATAACCTCTGTCATCACTACCACCACATTTTCTAAATTTAAGCTGCTTCTGCTCACATGAACAAGGACACAGGAACTCACACCAATGCTGTGACCAACAGAAGACACTTCCCTCAGACTGGCTTTTACCAGGAAACACTTTCAGGCAAGGAATATTTCTGTTTGATTTTTTCATATCTCAGGTCATAGGCTTCAAGGTACACTGCCCACTTAAAGACTTGAGCCCTAAGAAATAACTTGGATTTTGCTGGGATTATTTTATTTGGTTCCATTCTGGGTAATCCCTGACTCCAGAGTGACTCATTTATAAATCCTGAAGGCATGAAATGTGGGTATTGTGGAGATGGTTTTTTGTTTGTTTGGGTTGATTTTTTTTGGGTTGTGAGGGGTTTTTTTTCCTTTGATTCTTCCATTGTTGGTATTCTACTGTCCTGCACAGAATGCTTGAACTCAGTGAAACTCAGAAACAAACTCAATACCAAATCATTGAAGTCCATTGAGAAATGCCAAGTATTAAGCAATAAACCTAGAAATAAGACTGTGCAGTTAACAGGATCAAAACACCAAATTATTGAAAGAGGGTAACAGGTCCCACATCCCCACCGAAACACAAAAAGCTTCAATTCACATATAGCAGAAATACAAACATTAAACCTCTCTGAAGAGCCTTATATCAGTAACAACAGTGACCAACTGACCACTGTGAAACAGCTCCTTCTAGGTCTGGCTGAAAGAGCAATTCAGGTCATTGTAATCAATGTTTCTGACAAAAGAGATTCCTGACTAGTCACCCTCACAGTTTACTAATTCTAACAAAACTAAATTAGAGAAAATAAAAATGAATGGGATGTAATAGCCTGTGTTTCTTAAACTTACTTATCTCCCATTAGGTTCATCCCCTGAAGCACCAGTTTTCAAACCTGTTTGATGGATTGTTTAAATGCAAAATGATTTCAAGGTGATTTAATAATAATAATAACAGATATTTGCATCCCATGTCAGCCCCTCCTCACCTTGTCCACGTGTGGGTGCCAGTACTCATCATGTGTTGTCTTGGCCCCTGTGCTGTTCATCCTGGAGAAGAAGGTTGGCTTGGTCAGGTACAAGGCAGAAGAGCTGATCCCAAACACCTGAGCAATCCTCTGCTGAATCCTCTGCCTCACATCCCTGCAAAGAACACACAGGGTGTCAGTGCCACCTCCCTCCTGCTGCTCCTGTGCTCTTCATCACTCACTGCTTCTTCCTCAGCTCAGAAACATGGGAACACAGCCATGTCTGATTTTGCCTGAGGAGAGAAGAGAGAGAGGACAGAGAGAAAAGGGAGAGAGGAGAGAGAGAGGAGAGAGAGAGGAGAGAGAGAGGAGAGAGAGAGAGAAAAGAGAGAGAGAAAAAGAGAAAGAGAGAAAAGAGAAAAGAGAAAGAAAAGACAAAGAGAGAAAAGACAGAGAGAGAGAGAGAAAAGAGAAAGAAAAGACAAAGAGAGAAACAAAGAGAAAAGAGAGAGAGAAAAGGGATCTCCCCCAGGGATTTTGGTTGGGGTTTGTTTCTTTGGGGTTTTTTTTAATTATCAGAATATCAAGGGATACAAACTTTGTCTCCTGTGGCCTAGGTTTGAAAATTTCTGTTTTCCTGAGTAATTCCACACCTATCCCACTGTCTGTAAACTGCTGAAAACATTAAAGGCTTTCACAGAGATATTTTTAATCCAAAGCAGGTAAAAGTAAAGTTGTACCTTCATAAAAGGGTTGCCTCTGAAGAACCTTTAGTTACTTTTAAATCAACTGATGAAGTCCCTGGCACCATGAAATTCAGGGCTCTTGGTCAACATATGTATTGGTATTATTACCAGATTTTTTTAAATGAATGCAAAATGTCTTTCAAAATTACACAATTATAGTGTACAAACCAGATAATGTGAGAAAACCCATTTCTGAAGTTGTGCATGGAATTATATTAGTAGATTGGTATCTTCCACTACATTTCTCCACTTAGCATAACTTTCAAGAAGGTTTTCCTAGGTATTTCTCTAGGGAACTTAAATGGTGACTAAAAAGAAGTGGCAGAATTAAAACAAAACCCGTGGTGTGTTTCACAGTCTACAGGCTGTGAAAGTCATCTCTTAAAATCCACAAGTACTAAAAAATACTAAATATTCATTCTGTTCACACCTAGTCCCTCACAAGAAATAGAAATAACACACACAGATTTGATTTTTTAACCTGTCTCACTTTAGATTTTTAGGAGTCAATTCAAGCTATTTTACATGTGCAATATAAAAAGTATCAAATGAAGTCAGAGGGATTTTCAGGGATATATATGGCTGCAAGAGCTGAGGTTTCAAGAGCTGCAAAGTGGTGGAGTTTGCAAAAGGAAAGAACCCACAGCTCCTTCCTCTCATGCTGTGGGAGGCTGATCTTGCTGTCTGCCTTTTCCAAGGAGCAGGATGCAGGAAAGGCTCTCAGAAAGCATTAAATGCAATTATTCATTTTGTGAATGGAGAGCTTTGAACAAGGCAGCTGAAGAATTCACAGCCACAAACAGCAGAGCAGCTGATTCTGGCCCCTGCAGCAGCCAGGAATAAATCCCCTCCCAAGCAATCACAGTCTTGACATAACTGAATTCCTTCAGTTGTCCTGCTCTGCAAAGAGTCCTCCCTCTTCTTTCAGCATGATTCATTTTTCACTTTTAAAAGCTTTCTATTAAGGTTTGCTGTCTGCTGTTTATTAGGCTCTGTTAAAGCTTCTCTCCTCTTGGAGACTGATGTGCAATGCTTTGGGCACAATGTGTTTTACAAACACCAAACAGGATGCAAAGTCCCACTCAATATGCCAAATACAGCTTTGAAAAATAGAATAAGGTCACTTTTTAGCCTAGAAAAATTCTTCTGTACAGTCTGTTTTCTGCTGGCCAGGCCATTTCAACATTTATCAATATGACTGCAGGTTTTCATTCCACTCCCTACCCTGCTGCTCCAAACACAAACTAGTGGCAAAATACTTAAGGACAAAAGCATTGCCCTTCATGTCCAAACCAAGTGACGAGAGAAGCCAAATTTCAGCTCAGAAGAAAGGAATGAATGAGCCCAAAACTGGGAGAGCCACACTGACCCCTCAGCCTCTGTGACCCAGAAGCAGCAGGAGCCTCCCTTCCCTCACTGCTCTTGGCTCTTCACAACTCTTGGGACAGTTCTGGTGGATTATGGCTACAAAGAAAATATTTCTTCATGCTGGAGAAGCATTTATTTTCATAAGCACAGCAACTCTTGTCTCATTTATGCTGCTGAGGTGTACCCTGGCAGATGCAATAACAGAGCTATCAGGGGCAAGAAATGCCCAGAACAGCCTCCAGTCAACCAAATGAATGCTCCAAATTAATGCTCAGCACCAAATTCATGCTGCCCCCACATCTGTCAGCAGCAGCCCTTGTCCATTTGCACTGAGTCAATGGGAAATACCAACAGGCAGAGCAGAACTCCCTGAGAGGAGCACATGAGCACCAGATCCTGTACAAAAAGCTGTCACAGACATGTTTTATGAAAAATCCTTTCCTTTTTTTCCTCCTGAGAAGCTGAGAGGCCTCAGGAACAAAATGTACACAATGATTATCTGCTGCTGTGGAATGCAACAGGTGCATCTGTGATTGGTTTCTAATTGGTGCATTGTGGTTGTTCCTAATTAATGGCCAATCACAGTCAGCTTGCTCAGACTCTCTGGTCAGTCACAAGATTTTATTATCATTCCATTCCTTTATTATTCCTTGCTATCCTTCTGATGAAATCCTTTCTTCTATTGTTTAGTATAGTTTTAATATAATATATATCATAAAAAAATAAATCAAGCCTTCTGAAACATGGAGTCAACATTCTCATCTCTTCCCTCATCCTGAGACCCCTGTGAGCACCACCACAATCAGTCACTGTTTTGAGTTAGAGGAAGAAGAAATTTTTGGTGAGGAAGAAAATGTAAAATTTTTGATGAGGAAGACAATTTTAAAAAAAGGCAGTGAAGTATAGCTGGAAGCTCAAGGAACACACAACTTGAAAGAAAGGAAGTTTGCAGCTTGCAAAGCTGCCAGTTTAATGCAGCAGCAGCAGCACAAAGAGATGAAAGTGCCACTGAAAAGTTTCTGTGAGACACAGGCTCTGCCAGACCAACACAAAAAATGCAGTTAGGAGCAAAGTGTGACTGAGCCATGGTGACAGGAACACTCAGAGCTCAATGCACACAACTCCTGATGATCCCACCTGTCAGCACTGCCCGGGGAGCTGACAAAGCAAAGGGCTCCTCTAACAGCAATCACACACACAACACACACACAAAGCAAAGCCACAGCTCCTCCCTGCTCCTCCTGTCTCTGCCTTCATCAGCTGTCAGGTTTTGGGGATAAATCTTCTGATTGTGCTGTTTTCTGCTCAACTCACCCCTTCCAGCAAACACCCTGATTAAAGGTCTCCTTTCTGAATAAACATTTCATTTATTATGTGCAACAAGAGGGATTGCTGTAATGTGCTTGGCAGATGGTGGTTAAAGCATCAGCCTAGAAACCATAATTGAGTCTGAAGCAATGTAATTTTGACAGAGACAGCTCAGAAATCAGGCCCCTGGCTCAGGATGCCTTCTCAGTTTCCTTATTGTTGCAATCAGTAATACTTAGACATGAATTACATTCAGTTATTTCTCCCAAGAGTGTATTTTTAAAGTGACCTTGGTAGGGAAGGGGAAGTAATGATAAATGCTCCCAAAAATAGCATAAAATCATTCATTAAGGCCATAAAGTACTACAGTCCATGCTAAAGCACTGTCATTAATAGGAACAGAAGCATTTAATAATATATTTTGTATTAGCTTCACATCTAGAGACTGAAACATCCCCTATACTGGCATGAAACCCCAATGGAATATTGACATTCCCTAGCAGCTGTCTCATCTCACAGCATAAAGTTATAAAATTATTGAAAAATTGAATGCTTCTGTTCAGGTGAAACAGAAATTATCTAAAGTTCAATAATAATCAAGGAATCATCTAATTTTTGCAATATTGGGATCACAAGTAAAAACATTTTAAAGAAGTTCATCTACAAAGACAACGACATCTAAAAACAGCTGTTAAATAAAAATAAGCTTAAAGTGATTAATATTTTAATATTTTATCCATTAATTACTATTTTAATAAAACTAATAAACTCATTTGGCTACTCAACATTCCTTCCACCACTAGAGGGAGATCAGATTCCTTCACACAGGCAAAAAAAAAAAAGACCAAAAAAAAAAAGAGTTCAAATATTCAAATCAGGGACATTTTAAATTATAAGAAACCAACCTAAACGCATAACCAAAGAATTATTGTGTCTAGTCTTGTTACTAAACTCTGGCCACACACCTCCCCAGCCACATGGAACTCGTTAGCTTTGTTGTGTTTGTTAAGTGCATGAACAGGGCTGTAGGAAAGCTGGGAGCATCAGATGCCAGAGCTGCTCCATTATAGAGTTATTTCATCCTCTGGCTGCTTCTCCAGCCAGAACATGAATCATCTCAAGTCCTTCCACTTCCTGCTTTACCATTTTTAATGTTTTGCTACACTCTGCCTCAAAAAAAACCCCCAATTCTTGATGTAATACAAGCCCAGAATTGTGTCTTTCATCTCACACAACCCCTTGGATAATGTGTGAAAGAAGAGGAAATGAGGATTTTCCATCCCAAATCCCCACAGAACTCAGAGGAGCAGCTCTTCTTGCTGGGAGGGAGGGAAATGTGTGGTGCTGCCATCACCCTAAATACATTCACACCCTAGAACTGTCCTGACGTGGCTGATGTTGTTTATCAGTCACCAAAAATCCTTTTAGTTCTCTTCCTTGAGTCATTTAGTTCTCTAAATTACTAAGATATTACTATTTTGAGCTGCAAAATCCAGTGTATGAATGCAAAGGGCAATCCCCTCCCAGCCTGCATTCCACAAAAAACTCAAAACCATAAAAAGTTCTGGTTTGTGGCTCATTCAGCAGTTATTGGAAATCTTTACCTGTATAAGGCAAAATCCTCTTCTGTGAAGATGTCTTGAATTTTGTCCCCAAAGTACCTGAAAAGTTAAACAACAGGCTAAAAGAGGAGCTGCTGAATCATACTGAGCAATAACAAGAAAACTCCTCACCCTCAATCAAAAAGTGAGGACAAAACACACAAAAAAAAATCTTACAAATGCTTTTGAGCATGATGTCCAAAAAAGATCAAATGCTAAAAGATTAAAGGATTGAAATGCTGCAAATGGTAATGGCATTCCTCAGGCATTAAAAAAATCCCCTCCCACATCATGAAATAAGCACATGGACTCAAGTTTTTAATGGTTCAGGCTATTTGATTTCTTCCACTGCTGAATAAACTAAACTATAACTGTGAAATATACTATGATTAACCGGTGCAAGAACATAAAAATAAAGATAATGGCAGCTTTCAAAGTGCCCAGTTCAATAAAAGATCCTTTTTCATGCCAGGAAAGCTCTTTAAGTGGCCATGGAAACTGTGATGGATGCAGCCAAGCTCCATAATTTCTCCTCACTAATCCCAGCCCAGGGCTGGAGACACTGCAAGAGGCAGTGGGCAGGGAAGGGATGGGATGACAGCAGGCAGGAAGCCACAGCCTCATTTTACCTGTACAGATTAACAAAATGCTTCCCCAGGGAAAGAGCTCCAGAGTGCAAGTCCAGAATTGATGCCTGGAAAAGGAAACAAAGAAGGAAAAATGAGCATGAAAAGGTTTTAGCATTATTTAACTGTGACCTTTAATAACTGTCCCAAGTTGCCTCTCAATTTCCATAGCCTCCTAAGTAAAAGCAGCTTCCAGCTTTGGGTTCACAATACAACATTTATTTTACAACGAGAAACCTCCCTCAGATCCCTGAAGAGATTATTAAGGTATTATTTATTTTAAAAAAAGCACAGGACTGCAAATTCTGAGACTCAGATCTGACAGGGAATTGCCAGCTTCCCCCCATGGGCTCAGGGTAAATCACTCTGCTCCAGGATCCCTTCTTGAAGACATTTCCACATCCACACACATTTTCCAGTATTTGTGTGCTCTATAGCAGAACTAATATTTATCTTGCCCTGCATTTGTTATTAAAACTTCTCTTTCACCACGAGATCCTGTATACTTCTCATATTTAATACAAACATTAAAATGTCTCTTTAAAAGTACAATTAGAATTCCAAGGCTTTCTAGGACCAAACTTTCTTTTCCTCAATTTCTAAGCTGCTATAAAAGAAAATCACATAGTGAAAACGAAAATTCAATCCATTTCTTCATCCAATTCAAACCAAACTCTTCTGCTGAGCTCCCAACAAGCTACAGACATATTTCATGAAAAATCCTTTCTTTAGGATTTTTCCTCCTGAGAAGCTGGGAGGCCTCAGGAACAAAATGCAAACAATGATTATCTGCTGCTGTGGAATGCAACAGGTGCATCTGTGATTGGTCTCATGTGGTTGTTTCTAATTAATGGCCAATCACAGTCAGCTGGCTTGGACTCTGTCCGAGCCACAAGCCTTTGTTATCATTTCTTCTTTTTCTATCCTTAGCCAGCCTTCTGATGAAATCCTTTCTTCTATTCTTTTAGTATAGTTTTAATATAATATATATCATAAAATAGTAAATCAGCCTTCTGAAACATGGAGTCAGATCCTCATCTCTTTCCTCTTCCTAGGACCTCTGTGAACACCACCACAGATTAGCATGCAGATTTGCCAGAAGAGAGGATTCTAAAATGTTTCTCTAAATTGAATAAAGTACACTTTTGTATGTCCCTTGCTGTCCACAAAACACATGTTTGTACTGCATGAGTTCTAAAATATTTAAAAATAGAACTAATAGAAGTATTTTTTTTTTATTTATACTGGAAATATCAAAGAGCACCAGTTAATTAACCTGACTGGCACTGAAGTAATGACATCCCTGATGTCAATATCTGGGCACTCATCTTGGAATTTGCCATTGTTTGGGTGCACCACAGACCATTCACATCATTCTGACAAAATCCCAGCAGTAACAACACTGGTGACAGGGGAACACACTCATCACAGTCCCTTAGAAAATCTCTGCAGCCTCAATTGCTCTGTGCAGGGGAACCCTACGAACTCTTATTACAAAAGATAAAAAGAACTTTTTTTTTTTAAACAAACTTACACAAATAACCTTATTTACCCCTTGAAAAGTACATAAAGTAACAAATTACTGGAGTGGACACAGCATGAGCTTTTCAGATCTGCCCTTCCCACTGCTCTCCAAAAGCTCCAGAGCACTGTTCAGGAAACAATCTCACACTCGGGCAAGAGCAGCTCTTGTATCAAGCTTTACTCAAGCTTCAGAAGCAAAATACTTTCATCTGTTTGTTTCTGGTTCTGTACAAAAATCCAAACCACAGCTAAAAGAAGTAAAACTGCTCCTGTGTAGCTTCAGAGATATGTTTGTGACCATATTAAAGTAGATTATAGGAAGTAGCACGAAACAGCTGAGAAGATTAATTTAATTTAAAAACAAATTGCCTTTCTAACTCTTTCCACGTGCTTCTCTTACACATTTCTTCTCACTCCCCAAGCTCCAGTTTGGAAGAAGTGGACTGGACTGAAGTGTTCACACCAGCAGGGGTGATGTGCAGAAATATCAGTGAGGGAAGAATTACAAAATCACAGAAGGCTGAAAAGGTTAATATCATTATCTATACAAAGAAGAAAAAAGCTGAGGCAAACATCAAGAAAACTAATTCAATTCCCATTCTGTGAATAAGGAACAGAGTATAAAACTTCTTTAGTATAAAACTTCTTTACAGAGACAGATGTAGAAGGGAAAGCAGCTTGCTGCTGGAGAAAATGTTCCTGTTTGGATTCTGCAGGAAGTTAAACAAGATTACCATGGCCCCTCTAGCTTCACTCTGTGTGCCTCTGCATAAATAAATATAAACCCAGGAAAAGAAAAGTTACAAAGGAAGATAAGAAAGCTCAGCATGACAACTGGGGCGTGACCCCAGGGAGGCTTCAATAATTCAGATGTTTGTCAAGACTTTCTCAACATAAAAAGATGGAATAGGAAACAAGTTTTGGTGCTGTGCTCCAGTACTCCAGGGAAGGGCAGCAAACAAAGGGAGGAGAGAATAAACAAAGTCACAAACTGCAAGTTTACACCTTTAAATGAATAAATTATATCTAAACACACAGACACAAACCCACTTCTGAGAATTCAAAATATAACAACTATGATAGGCAAAAAAAACCCCAGACATGCTGCTTACAAAGGGCTTAAGAGGAAACACCAGGCAATGAAAATGCAGCCTGAATCCCAACAGAAACCTGTCCAAGTTTTATTTTGACTAGCAAAAAGTGGCTAAAGTAAGAATTAAAAATCATTAAACAGCAACAGTACTTTTGAGATATTTTAAAGGAAGAATTAGTCTTACAGCAGACAAAATTGGACAGAATCATCCAAACACTCCAAAGCCAAAGAAATTTAAAGCAACAAGCCAGACCTACTCCAGGTGGCTGGAAGCTTGGGGAAAGGAAGAGGAAAAAGGCAAGACAGGAATAAAAGAAACTGGACAAGGAGAGTGTATTTAAAATCACATTAGAATATTATTTAAAATATATTCAAAATACTATTTAAAATATATTAAAATATTAGAAAGTGGGTAAGGAGAGTTTATTTAAAATAATATTAAAATATGATTTGAACTATAGTCAAAATATTAGAAACTGGGTAGGAAGAATGTATTTAAAATAGTATTAAAAATGTGATTTAAAATATATTTAAAATATTAGAAACTGGGTAAGGAGAGTGTATTTAAAATAATATTAAAATATTATTTAAAATATATTCAAAACACTATTTAAAATATTAAAAATATTAGAAAAGGGGTAAGGAGAATGTATTTTAAATCATATTAAAAATATTATTTCAAATATGGTAAAAATATTAGAAACTGGGTAAGGAGAGTATATTTAAAATAGTATTTAAAATATTATTTTAAATATATTCAGAATATTAGAAACTGGGTAAGGAGAGTGTATTTAAAATAGTATTAAAATGTGATTTAAAATATATTAAAAATATTTAAAATGTAGTAAAAATATTAGAAACTCGGTAAGGAAAGTGTATTTAAAATGATATTCAAAATATTATTTAAAATGTAGTAAGAATATTAGAAACCGGGTAGGGAGAGTGTATTTAAAATCATATTAAAAATATTATTTAAAATATATTAAAATATTGGAAACTGGGTAGGGAGAGTGTATTTAAAATCCTGTTAAAATCATATTTTCCTGAATCTGATTTTTCCCTGTGAGAGCAGTGAGGCCCTGGCACAGATGCCCAGAGCAGCCCCTGGACCCTGGCAGTGCCCAAGGCCAGGCTGGGACAGGGGAAGGTGTCCCTGCCATGGCAGGGGTGGCACTGGGTGGGATTTAAGCTCCCTCCCAGCCCAAACCATTCCGTGACTCTCCCAATTTCCCAGAAGCACTGCTCAGCTCTTGTTTCTAACATCTTTCAGTTTTTACCCATTTATCCATCAATACAACATTACACTTTCTTCATGATCCTTTCCCTGAGGATTAAGAACGTCCTCACATTTCCAGATGATGAGACATGTGAGGCTTGGCTCAGAGCCCACACCTCTCCACAGACATCAGATTTTTAATAGATTTATTTTATTGCAGTGAGAGAGAAGCAGCTTCCCCTCCCTCTCATTTACCTCCCCTTAAAAAAAAGAAAAGAGGAGGGGGGCAAAATGAAGCTTCCAAAGTAACAGAGATATTTCTTGGTTTATATTTTTTACACATTCACAAGGACAATAAATTCTTTTTTTTTTCCACTGAAACCCTTCCTTTTTTTGCTAATATATGCCTTAATTCAGCAGAGGAATAAAGCAGTGGCTGTGTTTACAAATACTCATTAAACAGTTCCTGTTCACACACAAAAACATTCTGAGAACAAAGATGGGGGAAACAAATTAATATGAATGTGCTCATTAAAGAGAAGTGGGATTCTTTCAAAATATTTTCTTTTAAAGAATATTATTCCAAGGGCTACTTAAGACATTACATGGTTTTCTTATCTCTATAAATGCAATCTTTACATTGCTGTGAACCACTGTAATTCACTTTCAGAAGAGAAACTTTTACAGTTCTACTATAGCAACTCTTTTCAGATGAAGACAAAACCAGTTCAAGAGAGGCGCTAGACATAATTAAATACAAGGAAATGTATTCTGTATTACAAAGTCAAGAGTTACAGAAGTAATAATGAGAAGTAATAATGAGAATTAATAATTCTGTTAGCAGAAGTAATAATGAGAAATAACTTAACAAATCAATTATTTTCCAAGTCTGAACAGATGGAAAGAATCTCCATCTCCTCACCTCAGCCCCCCAAAAAATGCACTTATAATCTTGCCTTGGCAGTAAAAGAATGTAGAAAATAACAGGACACTGCTCACCCCTCCATCAGATCCTCCCAAGGACAGTCCCCTCTCTGCTATTCTGCAGGCAAAACAATAATCTCAGATGAGAACTGGAGTTTTATTAATTTGTCCTTTAATGTCCTTATTTACAACATGTAACTGCCCAGAGATTGGGATTTGATGCTTCAGGTAGAACCCAACTGAGTTAACAGCAGCTCCAATGTTTTGGAAACTGAACTTTCCAGCCTGTCATGAAAATGAAGGATTTGAGTTGCAGAATATTTCTGAGCTTGCAGCTCCCCTCCACAAATCCCAAAAATACCCTAAAACCAGACCCTTCCCAGAGGACTGCTGGGGATTACCCAGACAGACACACAGCTGCAATAAGGCTCACACTGTTTTGTTCTGCATTTAAAACAAGTGAAAATCCTTTAAAACTTATTTAATTCATTTTCCTTTCTCTCTGTGAAGTGCTCGTGCTCCTCAGAGCCAGACAGATTCTGTGTGAAAGAACTGCCCCCACTACAGTAAAAATGGAAAATGGCTTTAGTCACAAAAATTTCAGTTTTTAACCATCCTGCTCCACCCATCCTACCCCTCAGATTGGCACACTGTCATTGAAATCACTGCTTTTAAAAGTTGGAGCTAAAAGAAGAATTACCTACGAATTCTTTCAGCTTCTTCCCTTGTGATGACAGCATCTGTCACACCTCTTCCACACTTCCTAGGAGTGCAACCTGCAACACAAAGAGGAGGAAAAGAACCCATTGAAACCACTTCAGCCACCTGAAGGGCAGGTTTTTAAATGAGGCTTTGCAAAAAAAGTCTTTCTTGAAGTCTCTCTTGAAGCACACAGCTTGGATATATAAGATTTTAAAAGCCTCCTAAAATTCACTGCTAAGAAATCTAACATTAAATTTTAAAAGCTCCTGGGAATAACAAGTCAGCAGCAGGAGTTCCAGGTGGAGAATATATGAAAGTTCTTGTAAGTCTGGTTGACAACAATCTTCAGGCAAGAAAAAGAAGAAATAAAATCAGTTCTGAGCCACCAGAGACCTTGGGATGTTACATTTGGCACTTTTCTGAGGAAGATCCATTTAGAGATGTAAAGCCCCAGGAGAGAGGGGCTGAGTGTGGTTTCTCAGTGCTCCTGAACTGTCACTTCAAGGATCATTTATTCATCAGAACACAAAATTCCTGGAAAGAAATCCATCAATTCACCCATGGAGGACAAAAGCATCACTGTGCTCTGATCAAAGGCAGCTCATAACAATCACCAGGCAGATGGGACAAGTTTTGCCAGGAATTTTGTAGGAATTTCCATTTCCTATTACTGGATATACCCCAGGTGGGCTGCAAGGAAAGCTGATTTTCAAGAGAGAAGAGTAAACTCAAAGGGGAAATTCAGTACTCCAGGACAAACCTGGCTATTGAGAGCTTCCTTTCTACAACATTCTGCAAAGATTTCTGATTTCACACAAGATTTGTTCCTTTTTCAGCTGCAAATATCCATGCTTGGCAAAACCACAGGGTTACCTCAGGCAATTGTTACAGGTCTGGGGTCTCTGACAGAGAACTGGAAGCAGGAGGTGCTCAGAAAGCAACAGCACAAACTTTCCCAAATGGAGAAAAAACTCCAACAAACAGAAAAATGTGGTCCACATAAAGCCAGTCAGGTACCAACAGTGCAGCACAAACAGTGGGTGAATGCTCAGGAAAAATCAGAACAGTCTGTTTGAAAATTACTTCAGCTGTAAGAAAAATCAGAATAGTCTGTCTGAAAATTATTTCAGCAGTAAGAAAAATCAGAACAGTCTGTAAGAAAATGGTTTCATCAGTAAGAAAAGTGTCCTCTCTGTCTCGGAGACCATGGCACGTGTGAGCAAGGCATACCTTGAAAATCTCAGGAGAAATTCAGATTAGGACTGCAGGTACCTGGTAGCTTCCACAAATTTGTGCCCAGTAGACACAAAACCATCCCTTTATCTCAGTTATAACTCTTTATTTCAGTTTCTCTCAAAGTACTCAGAACAAAGAGATTTTCAGAGCTGTTTTGTTTCCCCAGCTACCACTAACTCAAGATGAGCTTAGTTTATTGAGTATTTCCAGAAAATATATTGCTTTTTTTGAGAAGTATGACATAAGGTATACCATTTTGCTCTTAATTTTCATTAAAGTTTATATTCTGAAAGAATTTATGGTTGCAATTCCCCTCTTGCAAAACAGAGTTTCCAGCTCAGCCCGTAGGAGCAGAATTGTCTGTGCTTGCTGAGATATTAATTGTTCTTGCTTGTTTTTTAAACATTGTTATGGTGCCCAGAGAAATTGTAAAAAGTGGGTGCTAGAGCAAATATTTTTACTTGTAAAATAGAGCAAATATTTTTACTTGTAAAAAAAGAGGAGGAAAAAATGGCATGGTTTGAAACCTTGATCTGATCTCTTATCTGATAAGGCACCATTAGCTCTGGCTACCAGGTATATCAAGGTAAAGAAGAACATACCAAAACATGTAAAACACGAGTAAAACACGAGTAAAACACGAGTAAAACGCTGCCACTGGGCCCTGCTCTCACTCAGCACAAAAACCAGAATTTTCTTTGGTATGAAGTTTATTTACAGGCAGGCAGTGCTAAGGGAATAAATCCTGCTCTGACAGCAGCTACCAAATCACTTGAAGCAAACTGGAAGCTCAGTTGCATCAGGTTCAGCTGGAAGCAGGGACAGGTGCATAAATAAAAAGCTCATTTTAGCTGTGGAAACTCCACAGCTGAGCATCAGCCACCGAGTGGTGACAGGAATGTGCCTCCTCCTGACACACAGCCCACAGCTGAGGGTGCCAAACCAGGCTAAAGACTGAGAATGAAGAGCTATTGAGTGACACAAACCTATTTCCAAGTGCCTGAAGCTGCTGAGCTGATCCATAATCCACATTTTCTGCCTGGCTGGGCTGCGGGGAACACACAAAACTCCTCCACAGCTCATCACCACCCTCTCGTGGGAAAATGATCACAGCTCAGCTTTAATTAATCAATTAACAGCTGGATCCTCAAAAGCACAGTGACAACATAGATAAAATTAAATTTTTAAAAAATAAATAATAAATTTATTCATTTTATTTTTTTGAAATTTAAAATTAAATTTAAAAAACCAAACTAAACATAAACCACAAAAACATAAATAAAACCCCAAATCAATCACGGAACTTAAGCAGCAGCACCAAGCAAACACCTAATTAGAAAGGTGAGTCAATTATCCCCATACAAAGCCAAAAGGTGAGACCTCACCCTGCACTCAGCACTTGCAGTGCTCCCCAGACACCCCTAAAAATAAAGAATACATTCATTCCTGTTGCTGGAGAGATGTGCTTCAAATTCCTGCCTTCCTTACAGTGAAAAGAACAGGATGAAAAAGAAGGAATAAAAATAAAACAATGAAAAGCATAACTGATGAGATGACCCAGACCACAAGCTCAAAAAAATTGCTTTTGCAAACCTGGGAAGGGAAAAGTAAAGTTTTGTTGGTTTGGGGGGGTTTCTTTTGGTAAGAAAACACTACAGCTGCAGAATCCAGAGACTTTTAGCCCCAGTTCAGTTATAACCAAATCACCAGCTGCAGTTTTCTCTGGCCTTGCACTACACAAATTCACCCAGCAGCAGTTTCCCCTTTAACTATGAAAAGTTAACACATAACACCTGTTCTCATGTTAAAAAAAAAAAAAAAAAAAAAAAAAAAGAAAAAACACCAAATCATTACCTTACCAAGACAATTTTTTTGTTGGTAGCTTCTTGACATCAGTTTTCTTGGCCTAAATAACATTTGAGATGAATCCTCAAAAAAAAGATGCTACAGTAGCAGCACTGAGGAAAAACTGTATGACCTCAAACTCCACATAAAATTTTCTTTTATGTTCTAAGTCTTTTTGACCAACAGCACCTGAAGAACATGGGGCTGCAATTTGTCAAACACTTTCTATCAGAACTAGCACAGGAGAAAGAAGGACCTCCAAACATCATCTGGTTCAGCTTTTTGTGGTGCAGAGAGCCTGGATAAGATTATCCAGCACAGTGCCCAGTCACATCCTGGAAACCCTCAGCCAGAGGAGGTTGTTCCTGTGATTGAGTGTTCTGTCTGTAATTTCTTTTTATATCAAGATGATATAAATTCTTGCCCAATGCAACCTGCACCCACTGTGCCTTGTCTGCTCTGCGCTGCTTCTGACAAAGGCAGAGCTTGTGTCCTCTGTACCTTTCCTTTAAGCACTGGAATAATGAAATGTGGTCTCCCTGAGCCTTCTCCAGGGAAAGGAGATCCAGCTCCCTGAGGTTTTCCTGATAGGATGGGTTCTCCAGCCCTTTGATCACCTTTGTTCTTCCTCAGCTCACAGCAGCTTCTTCCAGCCTCCAGCTTTGTGTCAGCATTTTCTCAGCCACATCATGAAGCAGACAAATCACCAATTTGGCTAAAAACTAACTCAGAAGTTTTTTGGTTGTTTTTTTTTTTTTTTTTTTTTTTAGATTCAACAGCTTATCAGTCAACACACATCCAGACATACTGACAAAAACCACAAGCAGAGCTGCTCTTTGGCAGCTGTACCAACTAAAACTGTTCATCACAACACACTCTGCAAATCTGAAAGTGAACATCAGCACTGCTCATCCATGGAAGCTGCAAGTCAAACTCTCACTGCTCTTTGTGCAGATTAAAATCTTCCCTGTCTCTTGAAGAACCAACCTCAACACTTCAAAGAAATAAGTGCCAGGGGGAACAGATACCAATTTGAAAACAGGCTCAGCAGAAAGACACAAAGACAGAAAAGTGCTCTGCAGGCACCCCCCAAAGCAGACACAGATCTCAGAATAAGTGACAAAAGCTGGCACTTGTCAGTCACCACACACTGGTGGCACAATGTCCTGCATCAGCGCCACTCCATGCTCTGTATGGAACAGAGTATGGAAACAAACCAGAAACAGACTCAGCAGGAAGTTTATTTCACAGAGCCTTGGCAAAGCAGTTTCAGAAGGGGGAAAAAACCTCTCAGAATCAAGTGGAAGCTCAGTTACACCAAGTTCAGCTGGCCCGAGGGGCACGAACGTTTGGGGCTTTAGGAAAGGGACAGTGACCAGGAGTTTGCTGCAAACACGGGAGTTTTACAGCCCAGGTTTGGTGCCCCGGCCAAGCTGCTGCTGCCCCCCGAGCACGGCCAGCCCTGCCCGGTACCTGCAAAGCGCCGGTGGCTCTCGTAGTCCTCGGAGCACGGCACCTCCACGAACTTGTCCTGCAGGGTGTCACTGCGATGGGCCAGCACCTCGGTGACCGCGTCTGCGGGGATTCCACCCTCGGGGACCCCATCTCCGGGGATTCCACCCTCGGGGATCCCATCCTGGGTGCGGACGCGGCTCCAGACCACGAGGCCGCCGCCGGCCGCGGCGCAGAGGAAGAGGAGGAGGAGCATCGCTGCCTTCAGCCACCTTGCCCGGGGATCCTGCTGGGATCTGCCCTTCCTGGCGCTGCGAGGGAGCACAGAACGGGCACCGTGAGCGGGGAGGGACGGACCGGGCCGATACCGGGGAGCACCGGGCCCGCGGACCCCGGTTCGGAGCAGAACACACGGGTTACAAACACACACGGTTTTCTCCCGGGATCCCGGTTTGGAGCACACCACACGCGTTACATACACGGTTCTCTCCCGGGATCCCGGTTCAGAGCACACCACACGCGTTACACACACGGTTCTCTCCCGGGATCCCGGTTTAGAGCACACCACACGCGTTACAAACACGCAGATCGCTCCCGGGCCCGGCGCTGCTCGATCGCCTCCCCATCGGGGCATCCCCGAGAGCCGCAGCGCCACTGGACCTGGCGGTAAGAGGTGATGACCAGGGCCCCGCGCTGGTACCTGCTGTGCCGGCGGCTCCCGCGGCCCGGTCCCGGTACCGGCCCGGCGCTGTCGGGGCCGCGGGGCAGCGCCCGCCGCTGCGGAGCCATCGCGCCTCCTCCGCCGCGAGCGATGCGCTCGGCGCGCCTCGCCCTGGCCTGCCGGCCTGCCTGACAGGGGAACGCGCTCGGCTGCCGAGAGAGAGTGCAAGGATCCAGCGCACAGCTGGGAGCGGCGGAGGCGCGGCACCGGGACAGGGGAACAAGGGGACAGCGGGACAACGGCACACCGGGATAGCAGGGCTCGCAGCCGGGACAGCGGGGCAGGGACGGCGGGGTGCGGCCGGGCGGGGTGAGCAGGGACGCCGCGGCGACAGGCCAAAGCAATCGAGGCCGGAGCATGTGGCGGCGCCTGGTGCACCTGGACCTGAAGGGCGCCGCGCCGCGCGCGCAGTACCTGGAGCAGGTGAGGGGGGAACGTGAGAGGGGTGAGGGATGAAACTGAGGGATGTCAGGGATGAACCTGAGGGATGTGCCTGGGGCAGGTGAGGAGTAAACTTGAGGGAGGTAAGGGGTGCACCTGAGGGAGGTGAGGGATGTGTCTGGAGCAGGTGAGGAGTGAACCTGAGGGAGGTGAGGGGTGAACCTGGAGCAGGTGAGGGATGTATCTGGCACAAATAATTGATTTACCGGGCTCAGGTGAGGGGTACACCTGTTATGGGTGAAGGATGTCCCTGGCACAGGTGAAGGATGTATTGGGCTCAGATAGGGATGTACTGGGCTCAAGTGAGGGATGTGCCTGATATGGGTGAAGGATTTATTGGGCTCAGGTGAGGGATACACCGTCTGCAGGTGACAGTGGCACTGCCCACAGCCCAGCTGCATCCCCAGTGTCCCCTCTCTCCCTCAGGTGCTGCCGCTGCTCCGTGCCCTGGGTGCCACCGGGCTGCTGCTGGAATATGAGGACACCTTCCCGTACACGGGGCCGCTGGAGGTGCTGCAGGCCCCCCACGCCTACAGGTAGCTCTGGGTACCCTGCAGGCAGCTCTGGGTGCTGCAGACACCCCGGGCCGTGCACAGCAGGCACTCACAGTCGTTCTCCTGCAGCCCCGAGGAGCTCCAGGCGCTGCTGAGCTGGGCACGGGCACAGGGCCTGGACGTGGTGCCACTGGTGCAGAGCTTTGGGCACATGGAGGTGAGCTGGGCTGGGTGAGAGGGGGTGTGCTGAGCCAGCAGTGCCCGGGGGGACAGCAGGCCTGGTGGGGTCTCGGGGTGCAGTAGGAAGAGCATTGGCAGCAGGGCAGGGAGTGATCCTGCCCCTCTGCTCAGCCCTGGTGACATCTGGAGCAGTGTCCCCAGTTCTGGGCACAAACCACGGCCAGGAAGTTCCACCTGGACGTGAGGAAGAACTTCTTCCCTGTGCAGTGACAGACCCTGAGCAGGTTGGAATATCCCCATGAGAGAGACTCCACACCATCTCTGGACACAGCCCTGGCACTGCTCATCTGGTGGGACCAGGTGAGCCACAGTGCTCCCTTCCAGCCTGACCCATTCTGGGATTCCCTGCTGGAATTTTCCAATCCAAGTCCCAGTGCTCTGGTTACCCAGCTCTGCCAGCTGCAGGATTTGACATCAGGGTCACACTGCAGTGACCTCCCCGTTTCCTTCACCCACCCTGTGAGGTGCTCTGTGGTCAGAGACCCCCCGCAGCAGCGTGGGGCAGCAGCTGAGCCCCCAGCCTGTCCCTGGGGCTCAGCCAAGCCAAACTCCAGGTTCAGCAGGGCACCTTGGGGACTGGAGGGCAGTGCTGTGCCCTGCTCTGGTGGCTGTCCCCAGCTCCCTTCCTTTCCCTGCAGTTTGTGCTGAAGCACAGGCAGTTTGCCCATCTGCGGGAGGTGAAGGAGCTGCCCAACGCCCTGAACCCGCACAAGGAGGAGTCCCTGGCGCTGGTCAAAGCCATGATTGACCAGGTCATGGCCCTGCACCAGGACCTGCAGTGGTTCCACATCGGATGTGATGAGGTGGGGCTTCTCTTCAGCTGGGAATGTTTCTTTTCTTTTGAGGAATGATAGCAAGGGCTGAGCCTTCTGCATTTCAGTGGTGCCCAGGCCATGTTTGGGTGGGATTTTGGGGACAGAAAACACCACTTGAGCCAGTGTAGAAAAGCCTTTTTGCCAATTATTCCAATAGCACAAATTGTCATTTCCATAGATATGAGTGTAATATCAAAGTATTGAAAGCAGCTTGTTAAAGCTAACAGTGTTTGGGTTTAGTGAGTGTTTGTAGTGAGATATCAATTAGAGCTGTTCATTAGGAATCCTGTAAGTTTGGTGTAAGATATTGACTCATTTTTCTGGGCAAGTTACTCAAAGTAAACCCTTCTGTGGTTGGAAGTGTTGGGTTTTTTACCTTGGTAGTTTGTCTCAGAGAAGCTTGAGTTTTTTCCTTCTCATTCTCATAGTTTCTTAAAACCATGCTGATGGCACACAGATCCCTGGAATTCATTATTAATTATCTGTACTGGTATTAGTTTAGCATTTTGTATTCTGTTGTGTTGAAACTGGTGGGAAGGTTGGACAGGGAGCTGTTATAAAGCAAAATACTATTTATGTAGAATAAATAAAACCAGCTCTAAACTATCACATTTTAATTCACTCTCTGAATGGGACCAAGTATGCTGGGCCACCCTTGGACATGGCCCCAGGCTCCTTCTAGACTCACATTTGGATGATAGGAACCTCATTTTATCTACCTCAGGTCCTGATGGATTTGAAGTGAATAAATGTGGTGAGTGCTATTTCTAGGACAAACACTCCAAAGGCAAATATGGCATGTACATATTTTAGTTTCTGTAGGAAAATCCCCTCAAGTGATGCATGTGATCATGGCCACAGTCTCCTGCAGACTGATGGAAAATGCTGGCAGTGTTTTCAGCACTGAGAGGTGCTTTGGCATGTGTCCCCTCAGTGGGTCACATCTGGGCAAAGGTTTGGAATGTTGTCCACCTCACTTTCTCTATTTCTGTGCAAATAAAAATAAAAATCAGGATGATTTGCTTGGTGTTTCAGGTCTACTACCTTGGTGAAGGAGAGGAGTCGAAGCAGTGGCTGCAGCAGCAGAACAACACCCCACAGAAGCTGTGCTTGTCCCACATCAAAGCAGTGGCCACTTGTTTGGCCTGGTCCTACCCCATGGTGACACCCATTGTGTGGGATGACATGCTCAGAGGGATAAGTGAGGAAACACTGGCAGGTGTGTGAGCAGGTTTGCACAGGTAAAACAAATTGCTTGGCAGCTGAATGTCATGAAAACAACAAATCTGGCAAGAGCTGAGGTGTGGTTTGACTGGAGAATAAGCACTCAGTCCTTGGCTGCCACAGAGGCCCTGTGGGAGTGTGGGTGAGTCTGAACAATTCAGTTTTCATTACAAAATGCTCAATTCTACTTTCCTTATACATTAAAACAACAACCAACATTAAAGCAACAACCTATTAACATCTGTGCTCCAAGTCTAAATCTCTGTGCCTCTCACCACCTTCTGATGTTCATTGCTGCCCTTTGCAGCACCTGATCCCAAGTGGTGCAAACTCAGAGAAGCTGCAGCCCTGTGAGCATCTTTGTGATCATGGTGCACATTGTGAGGAGTTTGATACTCAATTGTGGGCTAGCTCCAAGACCTTGACATGACAAGTCTTGTTTGTGGAAAAATATCAAAGCACTGCTGAAATTGGAGTAGTCTGAGCACAGATGGAGCTCCAGCATTTTCAGAGCCACCTTACATGGCTGCTGGAAACAGATTTAGATGGTAACAGGAAGAGCTGTGCAGCTCATCCAACAGTGACTGACCTATTCAAGGCTTTGATAGAGGGAAATCATCCCCAAAAATGCAGGTGGGACCCATGGGGTTTCCACAAGAGCAGTACAGCACTCTAAGTGCACTGCCACAAAAACACAAATTGAAATGTGATGGAGTTAAAATACTGAATTTCTGCACAATTTACTGCAGTTTCTCTAAGGGTCAGTTTATATGTTTAAAACTAGCTGAGGAGTTGATTATGAAAGGAGTTAAAGCTAAATTTGTATCTTTAGTTGTTCTTGAAAGGCACTCTGTAAGTGGAAGGGTAAATTTGAATTTGGCTAAATCTTCTCTTGTGGCTCTGCCAGTGGAATGCAGCTGGTACAGAGATGCAAAGAGCTGAAAACGAGGTGGGCTTGGGGTGAGTGGGGTCTCTGGTGAATTGTCCCTGCTCCTCCACGTTCATGGTTTCACTGAGGACAGTGGGCATGTGCCAAACCCTGGCCAGGCTGAAATGCCCAGGGGCACTGCAGCTGAGAGTGACAGCCTTGGCTGTTGTAACCTGTGCTGAGTTCCCATTTCAGCAGTGTTCTCCATGGTTTAGCAGAGCTCTGTTCCTTTCAGAGTCCGGGGTCCCACAGCTGGTGCAGCCCATGATCTGGGACTATGCAACAGACATCAACGTGGAGGGCAAAGGTTTGTACTTCTCTGCTCAGCTGTGTAGAAGTAAAATCCTGCCATTAAAACCTACGTTAGCTGCACACCAAAACATCTGGGTTTGTGAAATTGTTTTTTATTGCTTTCATAGCATAAAGACAGCCCATTTGATTTCACATTATAGTTGCTATTACTTATTTTCTTTTTCTATTTGTGTTTCCCCTATGAATGATTTGCATTGTAGGCTGCTTAATTCTTTTCAGCAGAGCTTTGGAATCACTGATAGGAGATTCAGAGGTTTTCCACAAGCACTGTTACATTAATTCTCCTTGCAGTAACACCAGTTGGAGCACATAACTCTGTATTGAACAGCTCTGCAAAAGAAGCTTCAGGGCTTCATACATCTATAGAATTCAGAGGGAAGCTCCTAAAGGCCCCTGTCAGGCATGTAAGATTCATGCAAATATTTCTTTTTGCCAGAACCATCAGCTCTCAGATGTTGTCCATGCTTGTTATAACCTCACAGCTCTTAGCATGCTAGCAATACTAGGGACTGGAGTACAGTAACTGGCACATGAAAATAGGGGGACACCTCTCGGGGTCTTTTGGGTTCCTGTGACACCAAGAATGTTAAAAGTCTCTTTTCCCAGCCCAGCTC